GGCCACTTTAACATTTGGTTATACTTCCCTTTTGGGTGTTTAAGGACATACAATTGGACCAGATAAACTGATTTGTTTTTACTCTTGAGATTTTTAAGCACAGTCAATAATAGCATTTATGAAGGTGCAAAGATCTTAGCAGTCCTACGGGCAAGAACACAATAGGGGGGGATTATTTATCGGGAAGAGGCAAAAGAGTACCAGCCTCCAGCGCATGGAAAAAAATCTATCCTATAGTATCCAGGAACTTGGGGTTAACTTATCTGCCTTCGAATATTTATGTGATTTCAACCCCTAACACTAGAAGGATAAGGCACATCTGTCTTGAGTTATAGTGTATTCGCATAGGAGTACATGTTTAGATTTAAATACCTGCTATAAACTGCTTTCCAAAAGAAACCTAATACATTCCCCTTTAAGAAAATGATGACAGGAAGCCATTGAAGAATTTTAAGATCTGTGCATTAAATCCTTTAGGAACTGGGCAAAGGATGAGTTTGAAGAGAATGCGATCCAAATAAGATAGGACAGGAAAGCTAAAAACTGCCTGGTCAAGAGACAGGCAGGAGGGATGGGGTTGTAGTTCAGTGATAGAGCACTTACCTAGCATGCCTGAAGCCTTATATTCAATCCCCAGTACTGCTAGAAAAAGAAGAGGGGGAGTGAAAAGGAGGGAGAGAGGGAGAATGAGACACTTGAGTTAGAGGGTCAGAAATAATTCTAAGTTAATAGCAAATGTGAGAGATTGATACTTGATTGGATGTAGGGGTTTAGGAGTTTGCATGACTCCCAGGATTCTATTCTGGCTGAGAATTCACAACATCAAGAATTCTGGAGCTGGGGTGAGGCTGCGTAAAGTGGGAAAAAGTAGTTGAGAGATGATCAGTTTTATCTTGAACTATTGGCTTTTACATTCCCATGAAAAGATGTCAGATTAAGATGCATAAGAAATTGTAAGCACTAATGTGAAAGGTAAGATAAAGTTCATCACTAGAAAAATATAGTTGTAAGTCATGTTTAATATACCCTATACAGAAATAGAAATGGAAGATAATGCCCTCAGGTGATATCCCAAGCTCTTTGCAAGAAGTCCTATGTCTATCTCTGTCTTTTTCCCTAAAGCTCTATGCACAGTAGATTGTGCACAGCAGGCCATGAAGCAGGTTGAGAAATGAGAGAAAGCAGGTTTCAGAGATGACTCTGACTATAGTGCTTGTCTACAGATCTTTAACACTTATGTACAATTTGGGCACATGTCAATAACCCCAGTGCTGAGGAAGCAGAGACACCTTGGTGGATCCCGGAGCTCATCAGCTGCCCAACCTAGCCAATCGATGAACTCCAGGTTTAGTGAGAGACTCTGGCTCAAAAGAATGAGGTGGAAAGTGATCAAGGAAGACAGTTGATATTGACCTGTGGCCTCTACATGTATGTGTATGCATACCTGAACACATACACATGAGCACACACACAGAAGAATACAGACACGCATATATGAATAAATAAAAGAGAGGCTAGAGAGATGGTTCAGTGGGTAAAGTGCTTGATGATCTGAATTCAAATCTGCAGAACTCCCATTGAAAAAAGGCAGACACAGTAGAGCTTGCCTCTGTAATCCCAGCATGCATGTATGGAAAGATGGGAGCAGAGAGGAGAGAATTACTGGAAGGTCACGGGCCAGCTAACCTGATGTCCACAGCAGTGAACAACAAGAGAGAAACTTTCAAACAAGGAGGAAGATCTGAGGTTGTCCTTTGGCCTCCATATACACGCCATGGCATGTGCATGCCTGTACTCGCATACAGACATGAACATACACACACATTCACACACAAATGAATGAGGCCAGAAACTATGAGCGATATGTAATTCCATTGGAAGTCCTTGCACAGTAAAGTCTGAGAAGTAGCGGGTGATCTCTACGTGTTTATGTGACATAACATGGACTTATTTTTCAGCGTGGCTTCATAAAGTAAAAGTGGCGATAACTACTGCCCGCTCTGGCCATAGTAAAATCCCCCAAGGAAATGGGTCTTATTCTGTTGGTTGTACGGACTTGATGTTCAACTATGGTAACAAGGTAATTCTTTACTTTAGTCTGTCTTTATAGTGTAAGGACTTGCCCGGGCTTGCTAGCAGGTGCTACAGCTTGATTTTTGCCCTCACCTGAGAATGACTCATCTTGCCATTTGTGCTGCTTTATATGAAGCTTTGTGCAACTTGACTCACCTCTCAGTTGTTTATTGGCATTGGATTAATTTACCTATGAGCTTATTTTTCCTTTCCTTAATGGCTGAAGCAAGGCTGCTCAGTTTTCTTTTATGCAAAACATAGTTACCCAATTGCTCATCTCTTTCATGATTACATTCAGTCATCCAGCAGCTTAAATGGCTGCCTAGACCTCCTCAAGAGAGATGGAAGCATTACAGCCCCTGCTAATACAATATTCACAGTAGTTATTGGATGACGTTTGAGAGGAAACTTGACTAACAGTGCATTTGTTTCTGCTCCCAACAGAGCACCTTCATGCGTCTGTACTATCCAACCCAAGATCCAGATCGCTTTGACACCATTTGGATCCCAAACAAAGAATACTTTTTTGGTCTCAGTAAATTTCTTGGAACACCCAGGCTTATAGGCAATGTTTTGAACTTCTTATATGGTGAGATTTCTATTGATCCTATTCGGTAGGCTGTAGAATCAAAACAAAATAACAAAGCCCTTTAGAAACAGCAAGTGTTTCAGGCAGGTAAGACTAGTCTTGATTTTCTCCAATCTAAGTTTTTCCTAGAATGATAAAGACAAGATTTCTTCTTTTTTAAAAAAAGTGTGTGTGTGTGTGTGTGTGTGTGTGTGTGTGTGTGTTCATGTGCATATGAGTATGTGTGCATGTTGAGGCCAGAAGACAACCCGGGGTATTGCTCTCATATATACAATCTAGTCTAGCTCCTTTGAGACAGGGTTTCTTAACGGCCTGAAGCTCACCAATTAAGCTAGGCTGACTGACCAGAAAGCCCCAGAGACCCTCCTGCCTCTACTTTCTCAGCAATGGATTATAAGTACACAGTACCTCATCTGGCATTTTTACATGGGTCCTGGGTATAGAATTCAGGGCTTCATGCTTGCAAGACAAACTCTACAAAATGAGCTGCCTCCCCAGCCTGAAGGACAGGATTGCTTAAGGACTTGGACAACTTTGAAAGAAGCAAGAGGTCTTTCTCATTTTGTCCATTCTGAATTTGATGGGATGGGTTACTCTAACGTCTTCCTATGACTGTCTCTCAGTTTACCTTCTTACATCCTGTGGGGGAAGACACAATGTGGTCAGAGTAGCAGGTTGTCTGGAAGGATCACTACCCTACACACTTTGTGTTGGACAAGAATAGAAAGTAGAAGTTAGGCCCAGCCAATTTACTTGTTATAAAAGAAGAGACCCATGGCTGGAGAGATGGTTCAGTGCTTAAAAACAGTGGCTGCTCCTGCAGAGGACCCAGGTTCAATTTCCAGCACCCACATGGTGGCTAACAGCCATCCGTAACTCCATTTCCAGGGTATCTGGCACCGTCTTCTGGCCTCCACAGGCATTGTACACATGTAGTACACTTCCATACATGCAGGGAAAACATCATATACATAAAATAAAAATAAATAAATTTTAGAAAGTATTTTAAAAAAGAAGAGACCCCATGCCCATCACCTGTTCCCAAGGGACCAGCTTCACTTTTACTGATCTGATGTAGGTGGATTTGTCATTTATTCTGTCTGCATTACACCAGAAGAAGCTTTGCTTTCCTAACATCTGTTAGACCAGATGTTAACTTGGTCTGACGTTAATTATGTCATCACATTTGTCCTTCAAAATTTGTGATGTTTAGAATTTACTTTGTCTTTGGGTTTTCTTAAAAACTACTCTAAAACAGAAAATGCCATAGGTAGTACACATCTGTATAGCGTGGAGTAATTTATCTCACTTCCACAGCAATCATTGTGTTCAGTCTTCATAGCTATACATTCATTTGATAGATAAGAAGATTAAATATAAATGACTGATAACAATAATGATGACAATAACAATTGAGATATGAAGGAAGGGAGGGCAAGCTTGTCCATTTCTCAAACCCCTTACTATGTGATTGGACAGGTATTGTATGTGCAGGTCCCTGTATATATAACAGCTACATAGTACCTGCATAAAAAGTACCTGTATAAATAGTGTATACACACACACATACACACACACACACACACACACACACACACAGGCACACATATGCACACAGAGTACCTAATTAAACAAAACACTGACTAAAACGCTGTGAGCTTATTCTTAGTCCTTTCATTTTATACAAGAGGAATCAGAAGCTAAGGGTGTCAGAAGACCTTTCCCAAGGTCAGTAACTAGTCAATGGTAGCTTCATGCACACAGCTGAGTGTGAAGTCAGTGGCCTCTCCATCTTTTGCTGGTCCATGATGCATCATGAAAAGAGCCCCTAGTTCACAGATTCTAGATCTCAGTATAATATTCTAAGACTTCCTGCATGGTTCAATTTTAGAATGCTCCCTTTGGCCTTCAAAGTGGTAATAAGAGCAGCCTTCTAGAATATACTTGTAAGTAGGAAAATCTCTCTAAGTTCAGAATTCTCAGTGAGAACTGGTAGTTGATGGATGTGTGGTATGAGAAAAATCTCTAGTTGGTGAGTGTCTAGTATCTGGCTTTTTAGTAAGTATACTAATTCTTAAAATCAGTTAAGAATTCCATGGTTTGGAGATTTGTGGTAAGGAAATGTAAGCTAAATTAATTAGCAATGGTCAAACCATTAATTTGTTTCCTGCTATTGTCCAGGTTCGATAAAAACTCCCGCGAACTGGAATTCTCCTTTGAAGACTGGTGAAAAATATCCACTAATTGTTTTCTCTCATGGTCTTGGAGCATTCAGGTAACACTTGGGAGACAGAACAGTTTTAGTCTCAAGCCATCAGTGACCTGAAAATAGAATATCAGATTTCAGAATGCTATCTTGGCCCTTGTCCTGTGGAGTGGGGTTCCACAGAAATTGACTGCAGGGTGACCAAGATGGTGAAGAGTAAAGGTGTCAAACCTGATGATCCAAGTTTGATCCCCTGGACCCACATGATGGAAGAGGTGAACCAACTCCCACAAGTTGTCCTCTGACCTACACATGTGCATGCACACATGGACGAACACACATATACACAGAGAGAGAGACAGAGAGGTAGAGAAACAGAGAGAGAGTCTCTCACCTATACAACAAATTTCTGGTTGTTGGCATGTTCAGAAACCTATTCAATATTGCTCAATTTTCTCAGGAGCCCATATGGGAATCTCCACTCACATTTTAAGAGGCTGTGGATCAGGCAACAAGACTCCCTAAGGATTTCATTTGCAGGGTTTTAGGCAGGATTAAGCCAGGCAAACAAAGGGAGTGCTTGAGAGGAAGGAGCCTGTGTGATTGTTCTGTGTTGTGCCAAGTCATTGAGAGCATCCTTCAGCTTAGCTTTCACTTGAACATGGTGATGGACGCTAAGGGGCAGGGCCTGGATGGCATATTTAGACCCATGATCTTAGCCAAAAGACTGAGAAGCCATGGATGGGGACCTTAGGAAGCTGTACTGTCTGTAGCCTGGTATCCTAGGAACATTCCCCTAACTGCCACACCTGCTTTACTTTCTCAACTATCCACTCTCTGTCCCCCTTTTCTACATGAAAGTTCAATAAAATAAAAGGTGCTAAGCTGGGAAGAACTTTGGTAGTACCTACAATAAAAAAAAAATATCTTCAACATTTTGATCATAGTCTGGATAACTATTTGATTTCTCTGTATTAGTGATTGACAAATTGGAATTCAAGCACCAGATCTAGCCTGCTCTCTAGGAGAGTTTGCTTGGTGCATAGCCATACCCATTTGGTTTTCACTTTGCCAATGGACACTTCTGTGCTCCAGCATCAGGATTGAGAAGATGTCATGCTTGTAAACCTGGAATTATCTGCTCTGACCTTCAGCAAAACGGTTGGCAGCTTCCCGAGTAGGCCGTGTCCCCTTCCTGTGTCATCAGCAGTAGACTACATAGCTCCTAGACATCCCCTTTGTATTTTTTAGAGGCATTATCTATTGAATACACGATGTGAGAAAACCTTGTAGAGGAAGGATATGTGAAAGACAGTGTGGATATGACTGTTCAGCACATGGTTATTTAACCACATCTCACAATCTGATGATTTCAATAACACTAAGCATGTGCTAAGTAGTTACCTTATTTTCACTGAAGATGCATGAACTCACTTGATCCTTACCTTGGAGGGAAAGCCACACTAGAGCATCATCTTTTACAGATAAGAGCCAAGGCAGAGAAAACTCAAGGGTCCTATGCAAGTTATACAGTTAGGAAGTAGCAGAGCCATCACTCAAAGCCAGTGGGCAAATTGAGGGTCCATTCTCCAACCTGCCTTCCTACATCATTGCCTTGTGGAAACCTTGTATCCAGGGTTGGAGAGATGGCTCAGTGATGAAGAGCACTTGCTGCTCTTCCAAAGGACCTGCATTTAGTTTCCTACAACCGTGACAGAAGCTGTAAGTCTAGCTCCAGGGTATCAGATGCTCTCTTCTGACCTCTACAGGCACACACATGCATGTGCATGTACACACACACACACACACACCTTACCTCTATCTTAAAGTAAGGTTCTTGTTCTTAGTGCCATTTCATAGGTAAAAGCAAATTTTATTAATTATCTAAAATTCAGATGGATAATAAGTGGCGGTCAAGATTTTTAAACCTCATATTCTAAGAGTCAATATTTATAATCACTGTACTATTGACTCAGAGTTCCATGAATTCAGTATTCTTGACGTTTTGGACTAAACAGCTGCTTGCTTTAGAGGCCCGTCCTTTGTATGACAGAGTGTTTGGCAGTCTCCCTCTACTCACTATCCTTCCCTCCAGTGATATCAACTACATCCTGAGGGGCAAGTTCACACCCTGTAGGAACCAGAGATTGCCAATCTAGCCCAGTGTGCTGAGCAGGGTGTAATGTACCCCCACACTGCTCGTTTTCTTAGTGGATCCAGGGTGTAATGTACCCCCACACTGCTCGTTTTCTTAGTGGATCCAGGTTTGTAATCATGGTTGGTAGTTGTAATGCTTCCCCCTTTTTGCTTCCTAGGACAATTTATTCTGCTATTGGCATTGACCTGGCATCACATGGGTTTATAGTTGCTGCTGTGGAGCACAGGTATGTACCCTGTGTATGTCAAATACAGGGAATGCGAATGCCCTTAACTGTACTTGAAACTATCATATAAGTTAATGAGAAATGTGGGTGGAATTTTACATGACGACAACAGAAAGAGATCAAACTATGTTGTCAAAATGTTAAAAGCGGGTAACAGTTTGAGAGTGGTTAAAGCCTGCTATGGACTAAGTGGCATGTTTAATATATATATATTTTGATATATTGTCTCACTCTGTTAGTCTTCATAACAATCCCATGAGATACCTATTATTGTTCTTGTTTTAAGGAAGATGGACATGAAGGCAACCCAAGTAATTGGCCCAAGTCACACAGCTGTTTGGTGGCAATGCTGGGATTTGACTTCAGAGAGTAGTTTTGTTTTGTTTTGCAATACCTGGGTTTGAACCTGGGGCTTTGTGCCTGTCAGACAAGGTCTGTAGCACTGAGTTGTATCCCAGCCCATGAGAGTTGGTTTTCAATACAGCCAACATTGCCCTCAAGGGTTGTGAGGATGGAACAGGTTTTTGCATTCAACTGGGACAACCATCAAGTCCTTTTCCTAATGAAAGAAAAGGGAGTCAACAGATCAGAGGAAAATTGAGTCAAGGAGTTGAGGAGCACAGGCAGATGAGGAAGGAGAGTAATTAAATCCGTGTGTATTGCAGAGATGGATCTGCATCTGCGACTTACTATTTTGAGGACCAGGCTGCTGCAGAAATCAAAGATAGGTCTTGGTTTTATCTCAAAACAGTAAAACAAGAGGAGGCAGAAAAAGTACGGAAAGAGCAGGTATGTTTAAGCGGGAGCAGAGATAGCTTGGTGGCCTTCAACGTGTGATCAAAATGACATTTCTTAATATTTATTTTACATAAGGCACACTATACTACTAACAGAAGATTCCCTGAGTGGTGAAAATTCCCTTTGTGAAATGTCTGGTTCACAGTGAAAAGGACAAAGAAGAAATCTGGGAGATGACTGTGAAAACTCAGAATTCTCTTTGGTTAAAATTTCTAGCTTTAGAATTTCAAAACTGGTAGAAAATAAATTAATAGGTCCTCAGCCCTCAGAGGCAGTGTAAAAAAGGCTTCAAGGAGGTAGCATACAATAGCGTTAAGAGTGCAAATCTTAAAGTCCACTCATCTGTGTTTGAATGCTAGCGCCATCATTTGGTGGTGAAGTGGTGCTGTCCAATCACATCTCGTGTTTTGATGTGCTACAAAATAGTGTTTAATAAGCATATCTATCTCTCAGGGCTATTGGGGCAGTTATTGTGATGAGGCCCACTGGCTACTTCTGCATCTTGGGTGTGTTACAGATGGGCATTTAGGTCCATCTGCTTTTCATTGAGATAAGGTACTATGTTGCCTTGGAACTGAAACATCCCCTTCCACAGGGAGGGAGACTCATTAAGACTCAGAAAACTAAGGAAACTTGTAGACTTCAGGAAACTCAGAGAGCTACAAGAGTCACAGGGCTCCTCTCCAAAGTTATATAGGCAGTATACAATTTCTGGTAGACAGAAGACTCCGGTGGAACTCAAGGGATACAAAGTTTGTGAGTAGTCACCCAAGCGGCTCTAAGTAACCCTGTACTAAATGCACTGATTCACCAAGGTAGATTTGGGCGGAATAATTCCTCCATCTGTCAGTGTCCTCTCTGAAATGAATAGACTTGTTCACATCTCCCCAGCAAAAGTCGAGTAACACAGGTATTAGTAAATAATTATTAGAAACCCAAACAGAAACCCAAAGAAGTCACGCAGTAGGTGTGCAATAGGTGAGTATTGCCCACCTGCCAAGCTGGTGCCCTGTCCCAGAACTTGCTTGGATTCCTGTCACTTTTCATTCGACTCTACACAAACATTAAAGTGTTATATCTTACTTTGTTGTTTCCTCCTTCCATTAATCATATTAGGTCCAGCAAAGAGCAAAGGAGTGTTCCCAGGCTCTCACTGCGATTCTTGACATTGAACATGGAAGGCCAAAGGAGAATGTATTAGGTTCAGAGTTTGATGTGGAACAGCTGAAGGTGAGTTTTAGCAGAGCAATTTCTTCCTGTCGCTGTGGTTCTGGATTCTTGATGGTCTGGTTTTTGGTTGTGTCACAAGGTTCATGACAGAGAGCTATGTTATGATTATCTTTAATTGTTATTTTGACACCACCTAGAGTCTCCATGTGGGGTTATCTAAATTGGGTTGATGCAGATGTGTCTGTAGGAGATTGTCTTAATTATTGTGGGAAGAAACAGTTCAACGTGGGCAGCACTATTTCCTAGGCAGGAGGGTCCTGAAATGTGTGACAGTGGAGAAATCTAGCTGAGCACAAGCAAGCAAGCCAGCATCCATTTTTCCCTACTCTTGACTGTGGGTATGATGTGACCAGCTGTTTAAGCTTCTGCTGCCTTGACTTCCCTGCTCTCATGGACTTGTGAGCTAAAATAAACCTTTTCTTTTTTTTACCCTAAATTGCTTTGTATCAGGGTATTTTATCACAGTAACAGAAATGAAACAAAAACAGGCTGTAATTCACCTGTGTGTCACACACCCACCCACGCACACATATGCGTGCACCAGTGCAAGTAAAACAGACAGCAATGAAAATTTCATCTGGTGGAACTGTAAATAAAACAGCCAACAGTCCATTTTGAGCTGAAAAAATGGCAATTTCATATGGTTCAACTTCATACTTCCAGAGGAAATATGATTTGTTATACAACCCTGGCATCATTTTAGGCTTGATCTTAAAGAATTAGCCAAAGGTTTTGGATGAAATTTTCAGAGGGGTAGAAGAATGTGGAGTGAATGGCATGTGTGGTGGGTGTTGGTGGCTGTGTGTGGTGGGAATTGGTGGGAAGGGTACCAACTGAAAGCAATTTGGTTTGGGAATAAGATGATGGTCTATTTTTCAGATATAATCAAGAGTTGACTGTCCCCCAGTGAGCCACCTTCTGTCTCCATGCCTTTGTGATGTCCCCTTGGCCTGACACTCTCTTCTCCTTGACTAACTGCTGCCCAATATTCAACACTCAGGCCAAACATCATCCCCTCCAATAAGCCCATGTGGACCCCAGAGTCCAAACAAGGCCTGGGTTAGCTGTTGTATGTGCCTCTGGCCTCCTGGTATTGGAGGGTATTGTATTGGGCCTCTTTGTCACTTTTTCCCATGATAGACTGTGAGCTCACTGACAATGACATTACAACGTTGGGCATGGATCAGATGTTCAATAAGTATTCATGGAATGAATAAACTGAATGAATAAACAAGGGGTGAGGTGAGTCAGAAAGCACAGGTGTTCAAGTGACAGGGGTAGGTGTTAAAGAACATTAAATTTACCTCTGAACTGTGTGCGTGTGTTTCATTTTTTGAGACAAGGTCTCATATTCTTCAGACTGGCCTTGAATGCTATGAAACCAAGGATGACCTTGAACTCTTGCTCTTTTGCCTCCATAACCTAAGTGTTGGAATTGAAGGCATGTCCTACTATACCTAGTTTGCTTCTGAACTTTTATTTATTTATTTATTTATTTATTTATTTTGGTCTTTTTGAGACAGGGTCTCCCAATAGCCCCAGCTGGCCTGGAACTCACTATGTAGACCAGACTGGCCTCAAATTCACAGAGATCCGACTGCCTCTGCCTCCCGAGTGCTGGGATTAAAGGTGTGCTGCCATGCCCAGCTGCTTCTGAACTTTTACCAAATATACATACATGTACATATATATCCACATATATACATATGTGTGTATGTCTAAAGCATATGTATACATATATCCTATTTTCTAAATAATCAAGGCACTTAACTAGACCTGCCAAATGAATGGTAACTGTGTGATTGACAAAGTAATTTCACCTACTCGAACTCCAGGTGAGATAATAACAAACTGTTACACTTTTTAACCTAGGGTTCCATCGATATGAATAGAATAGCAGTGATTGGACATTCTTTTGGTGGAGCCACTGTTATTCACGCCCTTGGTGAAGACCGAAGATTCAAGTAAGAGAATAACATGAAACAAGAGAACAGAAAACTGTTGGAAAGGGGGGTGGGTAGGAGGTAATTTTTCTGAAATTTTTTAGGGTTTATAAATCTTGGTTGTTTCATTTATTTATTTTGTTCCCATCAAGTTTATAAATGTTCCTAGGCAGAAACCATTTATCTGTCCTGCAGTTTAAACTACCCCCTTGTAGGGCTGGAGAGATGGCTCAATGGTTAAGAACACTGACTGTTCTTGCAGAAGACCCGGGTTTAAATCCCAGCACCCACATGGCAGCTAACGACTATCTGTAACTCCAGTTCCAGGGTATCCGACAGCCTCTTCTGTCCTCTGCGGGCACTGCACGACACAGGTGCACTTACCTACATGCAGGCAATACATACATACACATAAAAATAATAAATAATAATTTTTTAAAAAAACTACCCCCTTGCTATTGTGAATAGAATAGCAATAAACATGGGCATGTAACTATCTCTGTGGTAGGATATGAGTCTTTTGGGTGTATGCCCTGTAACATGGTATAGCTGGGTAATAGGCAGCTCTGTTTTTAGCTTTTGACAAACCTCCACACTGATTTCCATAGTGGTTGCAGTAGGGTACACTTCCGCTGACAGAGGATAAAGCTTCCCCTTCCCGATACCCTTTCAACCACTTGTTGCCATTTGTTTTCTTTTTTAAATTATTTATTGATTTATTTTTATTTTATGTGTATGAGTGGTTTTCCTGCATGCATGTAAGTGCATGCATGTGTGCAATGCCCATGGAGGCCAGAAAATGGTGTCAGATCCCCTGAATCTGGAGGTACAGATGGTTGTTAGCCGCCATGTAGATGATGGGAACTCAACCTAGGTCCTCCGCAAGTGCAGCCAGTGCTTTTAACCACCGAGCATCTCTACAGCCATGTTTTCCTGATGACAGCGTTCTGACTGGGATGAGATGGAATCTCAAAGTAGTTTTAATTTGTATTTCCCTATGGCCAAGGATATTGAACACTTTAAAAATATTTATTAGGCATTTGTGTTTTTCTTTTGAAAATTCTTATGTTCCTTAGTTCGTTAAAAAAAATCAGGTTTTTGTGTTGCTTAGTTTTTAAAAGTTCTTTATATATTCATGTTCTCTTTCATATGTGGATCTTAGCTTCTGATATATATATTCCCCTTTGAGAGTGAATGTATGTGGAGGCTAGGAAATTTGAGAGAGGTAGATGGGAGAAAGGAAAGAGAAAAGAGAGACTTTAAGGGAGAGGGAAGGGGTGGGAGGATAAGCAAACAGGTGATTTCAAAGGTTTAAGTGGGGAAGAAGATGCGGGGAGAGGAGACAGTTGAAGGAGGGCCATCCAAAACTATGTGTGCCCAAACATGCCATAGGGAAATCTGCAACTTTGGAAACTAATTAAAAAACAAATTCTCCTACCCCATAACATTTCCCCATTATCTTTATCTATGAAGGGCTTAACCTTTTCATGTGGCATTGTACAATAACAACGGTAATATTGCCATAGTGTTTCCAGGCTTTTACCAGATAATGGAAATTTTTATTAGTTTTTTTTTTCTTCCATTTTTAAGAGGGAACTAAGTTAAAATGTCATTGCTTTGGGGCACTCAGGTATACATACCCACACACAGACACATATATACACATAATTCAAAATAAAATACACTTTTAAAAACTTCGGAGACAAAGGAGAAATGGTATGTATGTTGTAAGTTTTCAGAAATCCCTTAGCTTTTGAAAAATAATTACTACTAATTTTTAAGTTTATTTTAAAAACTATGTTACAAAATATGAATCTGAAAACTTTTCAAGGAATGCCCTTCTTTACTTTGCAATACTTGAAGACTGCTTGAAGGAAATGACCATGTAATGGCAGGTTAGCTCTGTTACAAAGCTAATTAAGCCCCTGCACACTGATGTATAATATCTCTTAAACCCATGAGATCAGAAATAAGGTGGTGTGATAGAAAGGACTCTGCTGGGTGGGGTGTAATAAATCTTTCTCCATTGTCAACATCTGCAGGTGTGGTATTGCTCTTGATGCGTGGATGTTTCCAGTGAGTGATGATCTGTATTCCAAGATCCCACAGCCCCTCTTCTTTATCAACTCTGCAAAATTCCAGTCTCCTAGTGCTATAATAAAAATGAAAAAATTCTACCAACCTGATAAGGAGAGAAAAATGATTACAATCAGGTAAGTGTGAGTGATTCAGCTCACCATGCAGAGCAGAACCTTGAACCTGGATGGATTTGATTTTTAATTTTAATAAGAAGGTTATAGATCATTTACTTCTTCCGTACTCTTATGCTTACTCTTTTGATTTAAAAAAATATTAAAAATACTGTTTTTATTGATTCTTTGAGAAGTCCATACAATGTATTTTCATCATATTCAGACCCTCTCCTCCAGCTCCTCTTAGATCTACACCTACCTCCCTAGCCCCCTCACGTATGTCCTCTATTATTTTTTTTCCACTGCCTATCAAGTCTAATTTGTGTTTCCTAAATGCTCTTGGGTGTGGGTCCATCCCTGGAGGCCTGGTCAACCTACCTGGAGTCACAGCCTTAAAAAAACTGTCTCTCTCTCTCCCAGAACTATCAGTTGCCAGTTCCTCAGCTAGGCCTGGGCTTCTTGTCCACCTCCCTCCTCCATGCTGGGTTTTGTCTGGTGTGGGCTTGAGCACATGTTGTGCATGCTGTCACAGCACTGTGACTTTGTGTGTACAACTGCCCTGTTGTGTCTGGAAAGCACGGTTTCTTTGCATTCATCCACCACCTCTGGCTTTTAAAAAGCTCCACTCCCTTTTCTACAATAATTCCTGAGTCTTGGTAGGAGAGTGTGTGATATAGGTGGCCCATTAAGGGCCCAGAACTCTTTCGTCTCTTATTTTTGCATGTTGATCAGCTATGGGTCTCTGTGTTCATTGTCATCTGTACAAGAAGCAGCTTCTCTGGTAAGAGTTGAGAAATGCACTAATCAGTGGGTATAACAATTAAGTGTAAGTTTAATAAGCTGTTCATTTAGCAGCGTGGAAGCAGTAGGTTCTCTTCTATTGCCTGGGACCTGCCTAACCACAGGTTGTTGGCTCTGATAACAGTACTAGGTATGGGCTTCATCTTGGGAAGCTGACCTTAAATTTGAACACAAAGTGGGTAGTTACTCCCATAACATATGTGCCGCTACTGCACCAATGGGTGTATCTTGCCAGGCCAGTCATTATTGTAGCTCAGAAGGTTCATAGCTGCATAAGGCTGATGATTACTTTTCTCTTCTGGCAGCATGCATAGCACCTTCCAGCACTATGAAAGCTAGGCAGTAGAGATGAAGCTTCAAAGTCAGTACTCACTTGATTTCTCCATGTTTGTTCTACAACTCACATATGCAGTATATTCAGCAATAGGTTCTTACCATCATGTTCTGGAGGGTGGCCAGGAGCAATGGCAATAGCCAGCATTGTCTGAGGGTTTATGGAACTCCTTCTGGTCAACAACTCCAAAAGAGGGAGACCATTCCTTGCATTTCCAAGAACACTTTCTAGCCTGTGGTGTCTGGTAGGGGCATTGTCACCTGTTATAGAGTAACTCCATTTAAACTTTTTATGTATGTATATACACCTTCTATAGTAGTAGGTTTGCATGTGCTTTTTTCAAAAAACTTTTAAAGTTAGTTATCCCTCCACATATTCCCTCCTCTACCCTGCCTTCCCATTCCTTGTCCCATTTAACCTTTCTTATTTCATTATCCAGGCTATACTTTAAGTCAGTGTGCATTCTCTCTTCCTACCATGGTCTCTAACTAGTTTCCTGAGCTCTATGGCTTTTCAAATTGAAAGCACACCTAAAGACTCACAGCTGGTATTCACATATGAGAGAGAACATGTGACATTTGTCTTTCTGGGCCTGGGTTACCTCACTCAAGATAATTGTTTCCAATTCCACACATTTAGCTCAGAATTTCATTTTTTTTTTCTTAAGAGATGACCAATATTCTGTTGTATAAATTTCCATTATCTATTCATCTGTTGATGGACATCTAGGTTGTTTCCAGTTCCTGGACATTGTGAATAGAACAGCCATGAACACGGATGAACAGGTATCTCTGTAGTAGGACAGAGTCCTTTGGGTATATGCCTAAGAGGACTATGGCTGGATCATGTAGTAGATCTATTTCTAGTGTTTTAAGGAACCTTTACCCTTATTTTTATAGAGGCTGAACCCATTTGCACTTACACCAGCAGTAAATAAGTGTTCCCTTTTTCCCAACTCCTCAGCAGAATTTCTCATTGATTTTTGGATCTTAGTCATTCTGACTAGGGTAAGATGAAATTTCAAAGTACTTTTAATTTCCATTTCTCTGAGGATGCTTAACATTTTAAAAAATATTGCTCAGCCCCTTGCATTCATCTTTTGAGAACTCTGTTTCATTCCTTGCCCCAATATTTAATTGGGTTCTTTTTGATGTTTAGTTTTTTTGTGTTCTTTCTATATTATGACTACTAACCCTCTGCCAGATTTATATTTGGTCTGGTAAAGATTTTTTTCCCATTCTGTAGGATGCCTCCTTACTTGAATAACAGTGTCTTTTGTTTGCCTGCATGTATGTAAGTGCACCACAGATACCTGGTGCCCTCAGAGGCAAGAAGAGGGCAACAGATACCCCAGAACTAAAGTTACAGTTTGTGAGCTGCCATGTGGGTGCTGGGAACTGAACTCAGATCCTCTGCAAAAGCAGCAAGTACTCTTAACCACTGAGCCATCTCTCCACCCCCAGATTTACTCTTTTTAGAACCACAATGGTTTTAGAGTTGATACTGTACAGAGTGTTTATATTGGCAGTTTAAATTTATATTAAGCTATATGCTATTTTTATCTAAGCATGTGAACAGTTCTGCACATTTTGGGAGAATCTGATGGGGTAGATGAATGGGGACAATCCCATACTTAATACTAGGCAATGGACTGTTTAAGGAAAAAGTCAGAGCATCCATTGTGTTTATCTGTTGTGAAATTGTGTGAGTTTATAAGTGCCCCAAAGCTATAAATGGATCCCCTTAAATGATAGACATATCCTTATTTTGTCAATATGAAAAAGAACTCCTGAAATAGTTTTAAACTGACAACAAGATCTTACAAAGTGGGGTTAGAGAAATGGCTCAGTGGTTAGGAGTGTTTACTGCTTGCTCTTGTAGAGGACTGGAGATCAGAGCCCAGCCCCCAGTATCAGGCAACTCACAAACTACTGTAACTACAGCTTCAGGGCATCAGATGCCCTTTACTGGATCCTGCTGTCACCTGCATGCATGTACATACATATACACATCCACATCTACATAAATATAAATCTGTTAAAAAATCTGATGTTCTTCCACTCACTTTGACACTTTGAGCCCTGCTCCCTGAGAGCCCAGCAGTGCACTAAAGTAAGACCTGCCTCAGGCCAGCCCCCACACAGCCTCTTGAAGTCTCCACCTTTCTCTCTACACCTTCTTCATTGTAGCTCAAGACTTGACTCCTCCAGCCTTGGCTTCCATGATCTACCCTTCTCTGGAGATGTTTCCCTTGTTATTGATAACTCTTTCCTTTTCCTCCTGAATCATCCCTCAGATCAATCTAGATCTCTGTTCTCAGCTCTCAGGACACTTATTTGCTTTATGTTTTTAATACTCAGGTTTCACCTGGAACATAGGGAAGAGGTGATGGGAATTGGATGTCACTGTTTGGAGCTTTAGTTGAATAAAAGAATGACAGTTGGCTTCTAAGCACTGCCAAGGGATGAGAAGAGCTTTCCTGAGTGGGGCTGGTGTGATACTGTGTTTTTTTTTTTAAGATATATTTTTATTTTATGGATTACTGTTTGCCTGTATCCATGTATGTGACATGGGCATGCCTGGTGCATGTGAAGGCCAGAATAGGGCATCAGATACCCTGAAACTGGAGTTACCGACTGTTGTAAACTGCCATGGGGATGCTGGGAACTGAAGCCCAGTCTTCCACAAGAGCATCAGGTGCTCTTATCTGCTGAGACATCTCTCTAGCCCCTGATAATGTGTTTTCTAACCTTGGAGTTTCTTGAGAACTAAGCAATCTAGGAAGAGGTGTCCTATTACAAGTTGGGAAAGTACAGAATCTGCCTGACATTGTAGTTGAAACCTTTGGAGTAGATGGAATTGCAAAATGAGAAAATAACACTAGTCTGAGAATAAAGTCTTAAGGAATGCCTACAAGAGCAAAGGGCTAGTGAGTAGCACAGGGTGGTCATGGTCAGAAAGGAGAGTCAAGGCCAAGGAGATGCTGAAAATGTGCAATGTGCCCCAAAGGTAATAAAAAAGAACTAAAAGATACTGTTTTATTTGATTTTAGTCTGTTGATAAATTAGAGAGCTATGTTAGTGGTATTTATAAGTTGCTTAAAGTTAAATATGTGGATGATTCTTTTAAAGAAAAATCTATAGCCCAAACTGTTTCGACTTGCTACACACTAGCTAACACTACTCTTTATATGGAAACTGTGTCTGTACACTTTATTTTTCCATTTGTGTGTGTGGTATGCATGGGTGTATATGCATGTTTGCACGTGTGTGGTTGTATGTGTGTGTGTAAAGTTAAGTGGTGGGGGTCTGTAGTACGCTCTGTCTCTGAGATTATGATCCTTTCAACACATACTACATAGACTCCATAGACTCAGAAAATTCTAGT